GGCTACTCCTCTAGGCAGCAGACTAGGATTTTCCATGTGTATTTGTAAGGATAACATGCTCAAGTGAAGGGTTGCCTATTACCAAGCCAAGTTGTGATACAGCTGGGGCAGCCAAAATGAACAAATTGTTGCATCAGGGTTTCTTGACTAATATTAGTGATCTTGACTAGGTTAGTGTTGTCCTCCAATTTACAGTTGTTATTTTAAAATGTGCTCTAGGCCCTGCTTATTCCTGCTTTCTGTTCATATTCTCATTTATCCCAGTCCCACAGTTTCCTGGTGTGGGTAGGCTGGCTGTACAGAAGGGAGCAGCTGATGCAGAGGAAGGAGTATGTGCTTATGACCCTGTTTAAGGCTGTCCTGGCATCACTCAGTCAAATCCCACCTGGCTGCAGCTATGGTAATATTGTGCTAGAGCCTGGTGTTTGCCTCAGTTAGGAGAAAGTGCTGCCTGTGCCTTACTTCCACTGATCTGCTTTTGAGACAAGCAGTGCCCAGCCACCTGAGCCAGGCAACCTTGGACCTTGGGTTTAAACAGCGTCCAAACCCTCCTCTGTGCCTCCCTTCTCTGACTGCAGCACAAACTGGTTTTCTGAGCAGTGTTAAACTCTGATGTGCATATTTTAGTTTTACAGTTTGGGCATCACTTTAGTCAAAATGAGTTGGTTCTAAGTGGGGCATTTGGGAATTTGCCATGACTGTATTTATTCCCCCAATCCTATATTATTTGTGCATTATTTCTGCCAAAACCACACACATGTTGGCATGAAACAATTATCCTGGTTTATATAGGGCAGGCTTGGCAATAGTCTTCCTCAATGAACAGTTAGTGCACTGAAGATTCAGTGTCATCTTTTCCTCTCCAAGCAAGTGGCTGAATTTCTTTCTGTTGGAGTCATGGTTTTAAAATTAAAAGGGTAGAAGGCATGTATGAAGTGTGTATAAAGTACCTGTAAAGTCTGGAAGGGAAGGAGAATGAGATGAAGAAAAAAAGAGGCTATTTGAAATGCAGGCTAGTAATTTGGCTTCTAAACCCATGTGAAATTATAAGTAATGTTTATTGTTGCCAGTTGGTGAATACAGGGATGTGTGGTTTTTACTTGCATGCAAAGCTATGGGTTGTGGGTGAAGTACTTAGACAAAAACATTCAATCGTCAGTGTGGGTATTCCACCAAAAATAAACCCAAACAAACACTGACGTATTATAAAAGCACTTTTTTCTGTGGAGACAAACATTCAGTTGCTGCTGCTATTCATGAACTATAGAACTGTTGAAACCTCTTCTTTAACTTGCTTGAAACAATAATCCTTCATTTTAGAACGTAACACAAAGGTCTTTGAAATTGAAGAACCAGTTTTTCTATAGTTTTCATGAGAATACAGTATATGGTGTGCACTTACAGGGATATGGATCAATGATAACTATTACTTGCTAAGTTCTTGTGAACCAAAACTGCATAGACAAGAGACAAAGGTGAGGCAACCTTTCTTAAAACTTTAAAAAAAATTAAGTAGGCTTAAACATTAGTCAGAGAAAACTGTTTTGCAGTGATTAGCAAAGGCTTATTTTTCATCCTTTTCTCCAGAGAGCTTCACAAAGATTTTTGAATTGTACTCCATTATGAAAGTAACTGCTACTTTGTTATCAAAATGGTGATAGACATTTTTATTCCAGAAAGCCAGACACTATCACTACTTGAAATTCTCCGAATTGTTTCCACTGTGAGCAAATTCAGTCTTGATATGAGTCACATCTGCTTAAAAGTAAATACTAGTTGCTTCAAATTTCAGATTTTAAAAATTATTTTAAATCCCAGGATTTGGATAGTCCATGCTGCAGTAAGGAGTGATTGCATGTTTAGCAATGCAGCTGTGGCTGCACAGCACAGGGGTGTCAGTCACTCACTGCTCCTCACAGCTGCCACTCCTGCACTGCGCACGCTGTTCCAGCCGTGCCAGCGCTCTGGATTCATGGGAGGAAATGTTTATAGAAAGGTTCAGGTTTCCTGAATGAGTGGAATGAAACCCCCCTCAGAAGTGACCAGCAAGCTCATGGCAGGGAGAAGTTTGAAGCAGCCTGACTGCGGCAGGAATGCAGAGGTCTTTTCAAAAAGGAAACTTGACAAGTGAGCAGTTCTGGGGAGCAGCAAGAGGTGTTTTCAAATAAAAGATGTGGGTCTTCCAGAGAGACAGCATGAATGGGGACAGCTCTTAAAAGAGCTTTTAAATCAGTAGTTCATACACTGTAAAAGGTTAAGAGCACAGTGTCCAAAAAAATACTGCCCTCAAAGTGGACCTATTACACACTATGCTTAGTAAATGAAACAATGTTGCAGTGCAACCACAGCTACTATGATGACATCTAGCTAAGGTGTCCTAGATCTATCTCTGCTCTGTAACTTAAATTTTAGTACTGGCATAACTGAAGGTACAGGAAGTGCGATGAATGCAGACAGCAGGCTGAAATCCTTGTGAAAGAAGTGCTGTAAAATATCATTTCACAGGTGTACAGTTCTGTTTGTTGGGGCACCGTTCATGGCTGTAGCAACACAGCTTGAGATCTAAACATTCATTTCAGTTTAAAAAATTAAATAAAATAGGCCATTCCACTGAAGTTTTCAGATGACTGTGATAAGAAACAATGTAGGCTTCAGGCTAGCTATTAAAATTAAAGTAAAATTCACTTGAACAAAACTGCAGAGAGCAAAGGTGCTATGGGAAAAAAGCACTAGTTCATAATACTGCCCCTTGAAAGCCATTAAAAAGGACCCAGTCCTTAGTGTTTCCCTATTACACTCCACCATCAAAGAGAGGACCTAATTTACAGCACTCGTAGCACCCTCCAGTTCTCAATCTTAAAGTCTCTTTGGAGTGGGAAGAGAGCATTATCCTTATTTTCTAGATAAAGGAACTGGTTTATCAGCTTGCCCTCAGCAAGAAGCAGAGATTGGAAGAAAACTTGGCCAGGATGCAAGTACCTCAAGTGAGGGCAGACATTTGAAACCGGCTGTCTCAAAATGTGCTCTCCTGTTGTGAGGGGTTGGTTATCAGAACGAACCTTTCCAAGCCACAGCTGAGTTTCCAGCCTGCATTCACCCAAAAGTCTCTTGCATTATCCATAACGAAGTGGGGGAGAAGACACCACTTTTCAGAGCTTCCCCCCCCCATTCTAAAACCTGCCAAGTATTCAAAGATGGAAAAAACATCATTAGAGCCCTTGTATTAAAAATTATTTATTTAGTGATCTGTACATGGGGTGAAGCAGGGCCTCATACAGACCTTAAAAAAAAATCAAGTAAAAACATAAATACATATTTTCTTACAAAAATGAGATTTACAAAATATACATACTGCACTTGTCTGACACACTTGTTTTTTTTCTTCCATGTGCACATTATAAAAGACAAACCAAGCCCTGCGAGTCTGACATCAGAGCCACTGAAGGATTTGGCTGATGGGCCCATTCCTCATGCTCGGACTACTGGTACACCCTCAGACAGCAGCAGTCTGCCCCCTCACCCTGGACAGGTTTTTTCTTTTTAAAGTTTCATTCTAGACACTTCCCCCCCAAAAACATGAAGAGCAGCTATAGGGTGGAGACTTGCCAAAAATCCAGAATGTCCGATTTTGTCCTTAGGCAAGAATATACACACACACACATATACTTATAAAAACAACCCTTCAGTGAATATAAAGGTAAAGTAGTATGCAAAAAATAAAATATGAACAAGTCAACATAAAAATTTTCAGAATAGAAAAATCTGTCACATTTCAAAAAGAAAACAATGCATTTGATGATAAATTTTTGAATGCTTCTCCTTCAAAGTCTGATCACTGGAAACTCAAACAGCTGTGTTTTAGCTGAAATGAGAAGGCTCCTCACTTGCAGTAACTACTTGATTTTAAACCCCAGCCCCAACCTCAGCCCCCCCACCTGCACCAAGAATCATTGCCATGCAGCTCAGGGAACCTGAGGAGCAGGCAAAGGGTCCGTCGTGAGCCAAAACGATCCCTCCTGTCCCCAGAATCCGGCTGTGTACTGATTTTTTTCTGCAGTGAGCTCACTGCAGAGCAGGAGAGAAAGCAGGTTTACGGGAAGGAAAGAAAAAATTCCTATCTTTACATTACATATTTTAGTAGCTCTTGTTTTGGCAGGTGCTCTCACGTAAGCTTTTCTTGCCCTCTAAATCTTGCATTTCCTTCAGCTTAGAAAAGTGACCCATATTGAATGGTAGGAAAACATCCTGCCTCCTCCTTTTTTTCATAAAAGGAATGTTTATTTCTGTGAGCTCCTCACATCCAAGGGTGAACCTCAACGACTTCTTTTTGTTAGTTTGCCCATAAAAACCGATCCCATGCTTATGCCTTTCTACATAGAAAACACTTTTGTTTCCCCCTTTGTCTCCTAGAACAAAGGCAAGGGGGAAAAGCCTTCTGCTGAAAAGCAACAAGTCATTTCTTTTCAGGGTGTGGAATAGCAACCCCCTCCTTCCCCACAGCAGCAAGAACAACAGATTGAGGGCCAAATTTTTACTTTAAAACAATTACAACAGGTATCGCTGAGGTAAAAAGGAACTTGTGAGCTGATAGAACAGAGGCATCTCCCCAGCACACGATCGGGCTGGAGGCGGCTGTGCAGTACTCACGTGATGGCTCTGCCGAGCTGGAAGGAGCAGGCAGCGAGCTCAGGCTCGGGAGTCACCCTGCCCAGGCTGCAGCTTGGCCCCGGCAATTCAGAGAGCATTTGGCTACTTCTTGGCGGGGTGGCTCAACAGATCTGGCTTCCCCTCCCTCTTGTCCAAAGCAAGGCAGGATGATTTTAGTTGGGTTGGAGTTTCTCTTCCTCGACAGGAGTAGCAGGAGAGAAGTAAGGAGACTTCTGGATGAGGGACTCTCCTGCCCCAGCAGTGGCCTCTTTTTCTGTCCTCTCCCACTTAGCTGGTCATAAGCACCACTGGAAATAGTTTGACTGATCCTTTATGCAATTTTTTTTTTTCCCCGAACTTTCTGTGAGGAAGAAAAAGTTTGGAAAAGCCTCCCTTCCTCCCTCTTCAGGGAACCATTGCCCTAGCCCTATGCTGAGTATCCTCTGCGTGTGTGCATGTGTGAGTGTGTGTGCCAGAGGGGACGGGGGTCTCATACTGCCGTCTCGCCTTTGCTGCCGGTACTGAGTCTGTGGTAGAAGCGTCGCCAGGACTGAAGGGTTTTGCCAGACCAAATCCAGAAGCCAGTCGTGATCCCAACAATCATGGTCATGAGGTACTTGATCATGAAGACAGTGAAGTCTGGGCTCATAGGGGCAAAGTGGCTGGGACAGGGAACCGCGTACGTTTTGCAGGTCTGGAGGAGCCACGTCTTCTCCCAGGTGCCACGGAAGGCCTGCTCGTAGAAGTAACATGCCAGGACAATGGTGGCAGGCACCGTGTAGAGGACACTGAAGACACCAATGCGCACCATCAGCTTCTCCAGTTTCTCCGTCTTGGTGCCATCATGCTTCATGATGGTGCGGATGCGAAACAAGGACACAAAGCCAGCCAGCAAGAAGGAAGTGCCAATGAAGAGATACACAAACAAAGGCGCCAGCACAAAGCCCCTCAGCGAGTCCACACTGTAGATACCTACGTAACACACCCCACTGAGTACATCCCCATCCACCTGCCCCATGGCCAAGATGGTGATGGTTTTGACAGCGGGCACGGCCCAGGCGGCCAGATGAAAATACTGGGAGTTGGCCTCAATGGCCTCATGGCCCCACTTCATGCCAGCAGCCAGGAACCAGGTGAGGGACAGGATGACCCACCAGATGGAGCTAGCCATGCCGAAGAAGTAAAGGATCATGAAGAGGATGGTGCAGCCTTCTTTCTTGGTACCTTGGGCCACAGTGCGGTAGCCATCCTCAGAGAAGCGCTCTAGACACACCACCCGCTCCTCCAGCAAAAAGCCTGCTGCGTAGGCCACGGCGACCATGAAGTAGCAGCCCGAGAGGAAGATGATGGGCCTCTCCGGGTAGCTGAAACGACGCATGTCTACCAGGTAGGTGAGAACGGTGAAGAGGGTGGAGGCGCAGCAAAGCACAGACCACACGCCCACCCACAGCCGGGCAAATCGCACCTCTGCCTCCTTGAAGTACATGAGCCCATTGGGCCGGGCTGGCTCACAGGGGGCTCCGCAGTCCCGCTCCCCCAGAAACCGGTAGCCCAAGTAGGAGGGCACTTTGAGCTGCCGCGGGCAAGAGAAGGAGAAGCCAGAGGGTGGCTGTGGTGGGGTAAGAAAGTCAGGGAGGTAGCCAGCTGTGGGGTGGGCAGTGATCCCCCGACCCGCCGCACCACCAGGTCCTGGTGGGGCATCCGACGTGTTCTGCCCCACGCAGATCTCACCCGCACCGTGAACGGGGAAGTTCTCGCAGCGGAGCCGCTCTGGCCACTGGAAGCCGAACTTGTTCATGAGGGCCTCGCAGCCCTGACGGGCCCGCTCGCAGAGGGAGCGGCAGGGTGGGATGGCCTGCTCCAGCACGGTGCACACCGGCGCGTACATGGAACAGAGGAAGAACTTCAGCTCGGGCGAGCACTGCACCTTGACCAGCGGGTAGAACTGGTGCACCTCCAGCCCTGCGTCCTCCTGGTTGGTGTGGCCCAGCAGGTTGGGCAGGATGGTCTGGTTGTAGGCGATATCCGTGCAGAGCGGGATGGAGATGGGTTGGCAGAAACCGTGGTCCGGCACGGAGATGCCCTTCTCGCCGTGGTACTGCTGCGCCGTGGCACCCGCGGGGGTCCCCAGCAGCGCGGCCAGCAGCGCGGCCAGCCCCAGCAAGGGGCAGCCGGCGGCAGCCGCTCCGCCGCATTCTCGTCCAGCCTGCATCGCCGGGGCGGCCGGGGGCCTGAGGAGCCTCGGGGAGTCTTTCAGAGCCGGCCGGCGCGGCGCCCCAGGGGCATCAGCGACCAGAGGGCGGAGGCGGGGCCCCTTCGGCGGGGCAGGAGCGCGGCGGTGGAAGGAACGCGGCTCCGCGCCGGACCTCCGCGACTTTTTTCCTCGTCTCCGACGCGGCGGCGCTCACAGAGCGGTGGCGACGCTACTCTGGGCGAAAGTTTCCGGAGCTGCTCTCCCCGGAGAAGGCGGCGGCGGCGAAACAGGAGGCGCGAGTGTAGCCCGGCGACGGCTCTGGCCAGCTCCGCGCAGGGTCCCGCGGCGGCGGCGAGGCGGAGGCGCTGCTCCCTGCGCGACTGCACGGCCCCGGGGATTTAGGTTACGGCTAAATGGATTATTACCGCGCCCGACTGAGCCGTGTACTTTACTTCGGGGCTTAAATAACTTTCAAAATCCAATTACTGCGCGATCCTCCCCGCGGCTTGGCTGCGCTCTGCTCCCGACGGACACCGCTGCGGGCTGTGCGTCCGGGGTAGCCGTGCGCCTCCCGGTTCGCCTCGTTTGGCTCGGCTCGGCTCCGCTCCGCCCGCGGCCCCGCCGACACCGCCCGCTCCCACCGCGGCTCTCGGCCCGCGGCCGCGCCGGCACACAAAAAAGGCGCAGCTCCGCGCGGGCCCCGCCCCCGCCGCCGGCCCCATTCACAAACCGCGCTGGGGGCGGGGCCCCGCGGCGCCCGCCCGCCAATCCGCGCGGGGGGCGGGGCCGCGCTGGGGGAGGGGAGCGGGAGGAGCTCGCACCAGGGGGAAAAAAAGTTGGGAACAACTTTTCCCATCCCCGCCGGGCCCGGCCGGGAGGAGCCGCCCGCGGCCCCCACCCCCCGCGCTGCCCCGCACAGCCGGGAAGGCGGGGGGTGGGCAGCTCGCTCAGGGTGGCCCGAGCAAACTAAAATTAACTGGCTGCTTTCTGAGCAGGCTTTGAAAATGCGAACAGCTGCCTGTGCCCGGAGTTATTAAAAAAGGAAAAAAATAGAGTAAGGGAAAAAACCTCCAAATGCAGCGCCCGAGTACATTTGCAGAATGATCCTGTTGCGTAGTTGGGATGTTCGTGTCTGTGCGCCATCACCTCCCCAGCGTGGGGGGTTTGATTTGTTATCGCAGCATGACCGTTGCTTTTTGCTGGCGAATAAACGCTTTATTCATGCAGATCTAAGCCCTAGCTGGGGGAAGGCAGCTTTTTTTTTTAAAGTCCAGTGTTACCTAAACAAAGAGGAGAAATTTTAAATCCCCATTTTCACTGCTGCGATTCCTTAAGAGACTCCATTAAACAGTGAAAACCCAGGAGTTCCAGTGTGAAAGTACCCTGCCTGCAGGAGAGAAAATGGCATAGGTGGGGAGACCCCTGTTACTGGCCTGCTAGGCCAAGCAGATCTAGAACTAGGCACCAGCATACATTTGCTAAGGACAGGAATGTGGGGTTTGCAGCACAGCTGTGTTTTGGGCGGCACTGCCAAAGCAGAGGGAGCTGGGACCGTCCAGCCTCTGTGCAGGCAGAGCATGTCTTCGGCAGCACAGAGGGGCTGTGCTTGATAAAAGCTCTGCAACCAGGCCTGCTTCTGCTTCACTGACCCAGGAGAGTTTGTGCTCACACACAGGCCCGAGCCAAGTATTATTCCACTTACCCCATCCTTCCCTTTGAGGACAGAGGTCCCCCTGAACTGCAGTACTCAAATTCTTACTTTTACTCCTTTGCTCAGGATTGTGCTTCTGTTAGCAGCTAAGCAAAGACAACGATCCCTACCCATCCTCCAGGGCAGTTAAAAGAGAGCACGGTTTGGCTCAGGGAGCTCCAACAGCAATTGTTGGACAAATGTTTTCCATATCCTCTACTGCTCATGAACAATGTGTCCTCATGCCCATAAGACCATGGTGCTGCAGCTTTTGTTACATCTCTTAAGAGAAGTTGACAGTTATGAACAGGCTTGCTAAAATACATTTGCTCCTCTTAATGGAGATGTTTTTAAAAATAATACTGTGCATGTAAAAAAAATACATATGGGAAGGACTAGCTAGTCATGGCTGCAACAGTTCCTTCTGGAAAAGAAATGTCTTCTCTTTCTCAGTTTTAGCTGTTTAAGAGTGCCTTAGAGGAACTTCACTTTTTCAAATTTTTAAGGCTTTTTATAAAAATTTGTTGCTTTTCTACCCATATTGACTGAGAATATTTTTGTGATACTCTTCACCTAAATAACCACACATGGGACATGAATTTGTCTGCTTTGTTGTTTGGGTTTTGGCCACTAGTAGCTTTCAATAAAATTATTCTTTCCACAGTTTTGTTTGGGGTTTTTTGGGGGTTGGTTGCAGTTTTTTTGTTTTGATCTGGTTTAGCTTGGTTGTTTGATTTTGTTTTGCTTTGGTTTTGTTTTGTTTTATTTTTTGGGTTTTGTTGGGTTTTTTGTACCTTTGTTTGGGGATTTTTTTGTTTGGTTTGATTTCATTTGTTTGGGGGGGTGTGGTTTCCTCCTTCCTCCTTCTACCCCCCCCAGTCTGTAATAATCACCTAAAAACCTCTCTTTTTTGCTTTGGTTTATATGACTGTCTTCATCTGCAAAGCATTTTGTGATATTCACTAGGAAAAACATACGAGATGTTTCTCTGGCAGGCAATGACAATGCAGAGAAGGCAAAGCAACTTCAAACTTTCTGCCTCATGGATTCCTCATTCTGATTTGTGTATGTAAAGAAACTCCTCTCAGCAATGGGGAGACAGTGACAGGAACTATTCAGAGTAAGTTTGGTCAAATCAAGTGGCAAGGCTTTAATTGCACGTTTATTTACAAGGCAGGGCAAACGGCATCAGTGGCTCTCCCAGTTTTCTACTGGTCCCATTTGTTAGAGTCGTTCATCCAAACCATGGAACGAACAAAAAAAATAACTGGGATCTTTGATATGTGCTGCAAAAGCATCCTTTACACTTATGAATATAATGTAGAATCAAAGTGAAGCGAAACGGGGGGAAAAAGTGAAAAGGTAGGCAGAAAGGAAGAAGGGTTATGTCCTAGATTATTTCTTAGGGAGAGAAGAGAGTAAACTTATCACATGGAATGATGCTGCTAGGTCATCCCAGATGGCAGGAATGTGCAACAGGATTTACTAAGATGGATGAAGAAAGTCTCTTGGGTATGTTACCAAATTCCAAGATCGTTTTTTCTGTTTACACCCACGGGAAGATGGGAAACAATCACAGAGAGAGGCAATGGCAGTTGCCTCAAAATGGCACACTGTGGTATAAGAAAATCCCAGACTCCTATATCGATCTAAGACATCCTGACAGATTTCAGGAGACAATAAAGAGAAGGGAAAGAAAAGAAAAGAAAAGAAAAGAAAAGAAAAGAAAAGAAAAGAAAAGAAAAGAAAAGAAAAGAAAAGAAAAGAAAAGAAAAGAAAAGAAAAGGCAAAATTCATTATTCTGGAACACAGGTTAGTCCAAAGAATCCAGAACCTCTGTAAGTACCATCAGCTACAGTTCAAACAGCAGCCTGCAAAATTACTTTAATTTCCTCACAACAGGAGGGATCCTCATCAGCACAGTAAGCACAGCAGCCAGGTTATCAGTCACCCAGAACAAACACAATGCACAGGACTTTGCAGCATCTGACAAGTTGTCTATTGCAACCACAGAGCAGTTCAGAAAGTTTTCTCTAAAAATCTCCTAACTGCTAATGTTCTAAGTACACTGCATGGTCTGCCAGCAGTAAACCTTCACAAACAAAATCCTGGCACGTCCTAGATTCCAGAATAAATTTACAGTCTCTGGTGTTGATACCAGCTCTGGGTTTGTCTGACTAGACTACTGTGCATAGGGAGGAATTGTTAGGAACAAACAATTATCTGTCTTTTTACTCATTTAAAAATAAATCCAGTTCAACTTCCAAGCTAAGTCAAAGTGAGGAGTGGCACCCCTACATGATGTCTTTTCCTGCTCTTTTAAAGCCTCCTTAGATGGTGCCAATATAATTTTCATTGTTTCCTATCCCATCTGATAGAAAACTCTTCTTATGGGGGGAGGGAAATCAAAACAAAACACCCCCTCCCTGCCCCACCACTAGTTTTGTGTGCCTGAGGGAGAACATTTTCAGACTACATGTTGCAAGGCTTTCAGTCCTCCTTTGCCCTCAGAAGAACCAAGGCCATCGTTTCCCCTTGTCCTTTCCACCCACTGGAACTTGCTGGACCGCACCTCACTTGACCTCCCGCTAAGCAACACTGCCAAAGTCCGGTGCCAACGCCTGAGCTGTGAGATTTGCCCAGTTACTTTTAATAAATAACTTCTATGACACTTTTAACCTCGACATTTTGAAGCATGCTTACATACAGTCTTACATGATCAGACAGGCCATTGAGCTAAGAACATCAAAATTTGCACTCCCTAAAGCTTACTGGAGAAATGCCTGGAGCCTGGGGGGAAATTATGCATTTGCCTATTTTACATAATTATTTGCATAATTAGAAATAAAATAAGTTCACAGTATTATATCTGCTTGCATTTCTATCAGTCTGATAGATTAGTCTAAATTACATCTTGTCGGAGCTCATCAAAGAAATCCAGACTTTCTGTAGTGAAACGGGAGAGCCTCGTATTTCATGGGCAGGGAGTGGGAAAAGCAAAACCCTGCCCCCCACCATGGAACCCTTAATTTGAAATTAGATGGAAGACATAAGAAACTGATTGAAAAGAGCATGTGGGGAGGGCACAGGTGACAAAAGGAAGGGGATGCTGCTGGAGGGGATGTGGCTTCCCACAGCGAGAAAGGTAAAAGTCCTTTGCATCACGGATTTATAAAATAATTATTAGTTTATGAAGTAGTATCCCAAAGGATACAGGGAAGTAGCACTGTCTTCCACATTTATGGTCACACGGGAGGGAAACTTTAGAGAGCATTCACAAGGATGAGCTATCAGGCTGATGATTGCCTTTATCTCTAAGATCCATGAATAAGAAAACAAAACCTGATCTGCTCATCCCCCACTCAGCAGTTCATTGAGGACATCAGTTACATTTTAACCCTTTCATGATACTTTGAAATCCCT